GCAACTCCCGCAGTCAAGCTTGCAGTCCATTAAAAAACAGCAAAGAAAAAGCACACATATGCCTTCTGAAAATGCAGGTCCTACCAGATTTGTTTTCAAGGTGCTCCTCCGTCTCTACTTCGATAAGGAAGAGTGACCCCTCACCTTACTAAGAAGGGAAGGCTTTTGAACATGTAGATCCAACCAGATCCATAGTATCAAAATGCTATTTTCTCACTGCTTAGGGTCTGAATCTTTTTTATCTGCAGGTATGAGTAGAATCTGCCAGAAATGCTTTGAGCTACATGTGCACACTGCCTTTACCATCTCTCAGTAGCTTATCTCTGAATAACAGCTGCTGGAGCCAAAAAAAATTAAAAATAAGGGAGCACATTTACCTTCATACCTTGTTTTAAGTCATGATGTCCTGCAGTACATGCAAGCAATCATTTTGAATATTCGAGTTGCAAGCACTACTTATTGTATAATCAGAACACAGCAAAAGAAAGATAAATAACACTCGCAGAACCCACTCTACTTGGTATAGCATGACAAGTCTCAATTGCAGCTTAAAATTTCTGGATGGCACCCATGGGCACCACAATGCGTTGTGGCAACCTAATGAACATGGCAACGATAATGCAGAAGTAGAGTAATTAAGAAGTATGATGGAACAGACATTAGCAGGTAGCCAAATCTTCCAAAGACCTTGAAAAGCTTCACCAAAGGGGAACTAGATTTCCTATTTCTAGTTTAGAATTTGTTAGCTCTGCTAGAGAGCAAGGAAGGACTAATTAAAAAGCAAGAAGATCATGTAGCAGCAAAAGTGTTAACATGCTTCCATCTAATATCCAAGGAAAAGAAATTAGAATCCATCAGACATTTGCCAGATTTACCATTCCTATAAGCCAGCCCCTTCCCCCACTTCAACTTCTCTTACTGTGCATTGGGAAAATATTTTACTTTGGAAAGCAGAGCAGCTTATTCTCCAAGGAAGCATAAACAGATAGACTGCATACTAGATTTACGTTGAGTCAGACTCTGTTACCTTTTATTAAAAACAGTCCTCCTTGTAAGTTCAACTACTGTGCTGTAAACATAGAACAAGTCTCCTTCCATACTTCAAAAGCAAGACTTTAATTCCAAAATCTTTAACAATAAGGACGTGCTTTAGTTTCAGTGATTGTGTGTGAGGTTTAAGCAGTGCAAGGCAGCCTCTCTGTAGGTGGCCCATCTCTTACATTAACTACCTTAAACAAATGACATTTTAAAGCCAAACACACACCAGACCAGAAAAAAAGGAAAAAGAAAAGAAAAGAAATCCACAAGGTGGCCACAGCTTCAAGGGAGGTCTACCACCAACAGAGAATAGGAAGTTGGAGAAGTGTCCTGACGCAAAGTATAAGGCAAGATATGTATATCAGAAATAAGTGACCAAACATTTAAAAGGCACAGAATTACACGTATTTTTATCTACATTATCAGATAATATCTACTTTCTCTAATCTTGAGGGAAAATGACATATTTATAGTTTGAGTAGAATTCTGTGGATACTATATTTTGAATTGTCAAAAAAAGAAGCATTCAGGATTAATTTGTCAAAAAGAGCAAACATTATTTATCTACTACATTTCTATACAAACCAATACACAAAGTGCTCTGGGCAGTTCCAAAGAATTAAAACCATAAAATACATCCAGATAAAAGGTAACATAAATCCTTAAAAGTAAAATATAAAATAAAAATCAAATAAAACCTAGCAGCAGTGCAAAGATTCAAAACACAGTAACAAAATCCAGATATACTCAACCAAATAATCTATTTTCAACAAGATTAATTTCATACTTGCAAATTCCTTCTTGTCTTGTCTGAGGATTTTGAAATTTGAACCTACAGCATAAGTGCTCTTTGCCATTATTTTTGATCCTAGGAATTCCATTACTAGGAATTCTTCCACGTTATTAAATAGCTATTTTGTTAGCAGACAATCACCAACATTTAAGCAGAATATGAAAGCCACACCCTGGTAAGTGGAAATACATTTTCATGCAACGAAACAAAGGGTATTTTTCTTGGCGGCGTTTTATTAGAATAAGAAAATTTACTTAACCTTCATATCTACATGCTACATATATCTCCTATTCCTTTATTGATATATACAGAGTCCATAATTCAAGCCAGATATTCCCATTTCAAAACACTGTGCGCAGTGTTGCACTGCTTAGTGGGCATCAAGGAATGGCACCTGATGACAGCATGCAACTAGCGACATAAATTTCTAGGGAACAAATCTGTAACCTTTAGGAAGCAATTCTATGGCTCCTAGACAGCACTCTGACCTCAGAAATGGTGCTCTAGGCAACTAGGCATTGAAAGAACTGCACTTGCTTCCTTTCCTAGGCTTGAAATGCAACGGGGGGGGGGGGTTGCTTTGGTAGGTGGGGAGGGAAGGGACTGATGAGGCCAGGATACAAGTTATCTTGAGACCTTCCCAGCCTTCTTCCCTCCTCCTCTGAAATGCTGTTGCTGGACTGGTAAAAAAGCCCATCTAGTGAAAATGCAGGACAGGAAGGCAGAAAGAGTATGGGATGAGCTTAACCTCCTAAATTTGAGAGCTTATGCTTATTACACTAGGACTGCACCAATACAGTGGTACCTTGCCTCACAAACTTAATCCATTCCATGACTCTGGTCATGACCCAAATTGGTCATGAGCCAAGTCAAATTTTCCCATAAGGTTCAAGGTAAATAAGGTTAAACCATTCTGTAACTATATTTTTTTAATCACAAACATTTGCAGCAAAGTGACAAAGAACAACGAAGATCACGGACATCCCCCCCCCCGCACGATCGTGCCATCTCCCCCACCCCCAGAGCACAATCGTAGCCATCTCCCCTCCCCCCCCCCAAGCATGATCATGGCCATCTCCTCCCCCCAGTGCGACCACGATCGCAACCATGCAGAGAAGTTGGGTGCAATCGCGACCATCACCCAATGCAGAGTTCGCAACCTGAGACAAAATTTTTCTGAAATTTCTGTTCGTGACCCGATTTGATCGTGAACTGAGGCATTCGTGAGCCGAGGTACCACTGTATAGTAGTACAAATATGTTCTGGCCTGAATTCTAGATAGACTGCAAAGTAGAGGTGCGTCCAGTTCAAAGAACTTGTGCTATGACTAGTTGCTATGACAAAATCATCACTTTGTGGCTAGCCTATGTTGCACTTTTCTTTCAATGCAGAGGACATTCTATCTTGGATTTAGAGTTGAAGAAAAAGATGGAGCTGAACTGAGCACTCATTCATCTCAACTACCTATTAAGTTATAGGGTCAAAATGAAACATGACATATGAAAACATAAATTATCATAAAACTAGAAAGATTAGAAAAACAAGTGGGTCCAATACTTTCCTGAACACTTGAAAAGAGGAGGTCTGGCCAACCCACTGATGAAACTCTCTCCCCCTTATATTCACCAGTAAGCAGGCAAGTGAGAAGGGCCTCTGAGTCAAATGTGAGTAGTTGGTATAGGATAAGGTTATGTATCAGGTAACTTAGGCACAACTAATTTAAAGCTTTAAAATATTTAAAACCAGCACTTTAAATTGAGCTCAGACATGCACTGGCAATCAGTGTAGCTGGCTCAGTATCACATTCTGTACCAGCTAGAGTTTCTGAACCATGTTCAAAGGCATGCCAAAGTACAGTATATTACAGCAGTCCTTTTACAGAGCATGAATAGGCAAGGCAACAGCATTTCTCTTTAAGATACTGTTATAACCGCCATCCAAGCTTAAGTTCGTAACAAGTACTCCTACCTGCTGCCACCACCTAACATCCCCAGTGAGCAAAGAAACTGAAAATACCCACACAGTGCACCTGACCCTTCAGGGAAAGCTTAACCACATCTAGGACTAGATGTAATCCTTTCCTCAGATTAATCAGTTTCCCTATCCACTGTACTTCTGCCTTGTCTGGATTATGTCTCAGCTTGCCTGCCCTCATCCATCCCAAAACTGCCTCCAGACACCAGTTCAGGAGTTCAACTGATCTGAAATGAGTTATCATCTATACTAGAGAGAATGCAGAATGAAGACTTCAGGGCTGGTATTCTCTAGTAACATAGCAGTGAAGAACAGGGCACTGATTGTAAACAAATGCTATTTATGTGTACTCTGAGAAATTATAAACTTAAAAGTGCAAATGGCTGAAGTTTATGTTTAAATGTCTTCTACAACAGAAACACACGTTGTGATTTAATATATAAGCCTTGAGATACTTTTACATGGTCAGAATCACCCTATGATAGCCCAAAAATGAAATACATATTATGATCATTCTGCTAATGGGGAGAACATAATAATAAAACTGATGAGTAGCAGCATCCATCCCAGATACTTAAATTATTCTGCCATGTTTAACATTTACACAGGTTATGAATGCCAGAGAAACAGCCTTTTGTAACACTTTAACAAACTGATTTTATAGCTTTCATTGACTAAAGCCCACTTTGTGAACTAATATGAAGCATTATGACAAAACTTTTAAGCAGTAGCGTCAAAGGCCATAAAGATGAAGGGATACATTACGTGACATTTCTATGGAAAGGTACTCAGAAACCTTAGGTTATTAGGTGGGTTAAAAGTATGATAAATAAATAAGGTGATAACAATGACAATTCACAACATTGATTGGTGAAAATACATTCTTTCTGTGCTTGTTGTGTTAGTTTAACACCTAGGAGGTAGAGGATTTCCAGGTCTTCTGAATCCAAAACAAAACCAAGCTTGCTGTTAAATTCTACTCCAATTTTTTTTATTGAAGACTCCCTGCATAGTTTTTTTTTAGTAATTGCAGTACTTTCAGGTAAGCAGCAATGCAATTTACCCTTAGAGAGAACTACCCTTCCTGAATTTTGTCACGTAGAACTACTTTTACTTGTGTGCATGCATACTTCTACTACATTTCCAACTGCTTCAGAAAGCTACAATCCACAATAAATAGAAATTAAAGACTTACTCATGCACTCTGTTATCACCATACAAGTCGCTTAATCCAAAGCTTACATAGTGCCAGTGCTCAGGAACATTTTGGGTTGGGCTTCCCAAGTTCCTGTACATACTGACATAGTCCAGAGGATCAGGTCCACCTAACCTATATAAGAAAAAATTGAAAAGAAACAAGAGTAAGTTGCCACTCAGTGTTGGAAAACAAATGGTTTTAAGCCAATGCATTACCACCACTGCATTCAACATCATTACATCTAATTCCTTTATTAAATAGTTAGGGCAAGCAAGTAAGAGCTTTGCCTTGCGTCAAAATAACAACAGTTGTTTATCAATAGATCTTGCAGTGCTGCACTGTTTGACCTTCAGGACATTTCACATACTTTGTTTTATTGTTTAAACATGAAATAAAAGACAAGCCTGCAAAGATGCTCACAAGACAAAGACCTCCTGTTCACAATAGAAATGAATATTTACATATGACTGCCAAACACCTTCAAATACTAAAAGATCAGAAAGCCTGACTAAAGCTTTTTTTCCTCACACACCCAACTTCCTACAATCATTTGTTTAAACCAAAACGTTGGACTTTTTTTCTTGATCCAATTTAAAGTACTTGTAACTACCATTAAAGCTTCGTATATAGCAAGAAAGGGGGACACTGGCCCACCAGATGCAATTGGACTGCAGCTCCCCATTGGTCATACCCAGTCTGGCCAATAGTGAAGGATGATGGAAGTTACCCTTTTGACATCTAAAATGAAGATAACACTGCATATATCATTTTTACCTTAATACTATGTATATCTTTATTATGATTTAGCTGCAGCTCTTGTTCAGTCACTAAAAACTGTTATTTTTAATCTTACATTATAAACTAGTAGGACTCCTTTCATATATTTTGAATAGGAGAACAGCTTCCTGAAGATGATACCCAGCTCTACCTCTCATTTTCCACCAATCCAGGTGAGGCAGTGGCTGTACTGAACCGATGCCTGGCCGAGCTAATGGGCTAGATGAGGGCCAATAAACTGAAGCTCAATCCAGACAAGACGGAGGTCCTGTTGGTTGGCGGATCGGGCTTCGGGGAGGGTGAATTGAACTTAGTCCTGAATGGGGTTGCACTCCCTCTTAGGGACAAGGTCCGCAGCCTGGGAGTGCTCCTCGACCCAGAGCTTTCACTGGAAGCTCAGGTGACAGCAGTGGCGATGAGCGCTTTCCTTCAGCTTCGGCTGATTAAGCAGCTGCGCCTCTACCTGGAGTACGACTGCCTGGCAACAGTGACACACGCGCTGGTGACTTCCTGCCTTGACTTCTGTAACGCGCTCTATGTGGGGCTACCCTTGAAGACGGTCCGGATACTTCAATTGGTTCAAAATAGAGCTGCCAGGCTGCTGACGGGGACTGGGAGTTATGTTCACATGACTCCAGTCCTCCGTCAGCTTCACTGGCTTCCCATTGAAGTCTGGGCCCAATTCAAGGTGTTGGTGATGACCTATAAAGCCCTAAACGCCTTGGGTCCTGGTTACCTGAAGGAGCGCTTACATCCATATACACCCACCCGCCTCTTGAGATCTGCGGGAGAGGCCCTTCTCCGGGAATCCTCCGTGAAAGAAATTAGGAGGGTAGGTACTCGGAAGAGGGCTTTCTCTGCGGTGGCGCCCAATCTATGGAATGTGCTCCCCAGAGAGGTCCGCCTGGCACCGTCGTTATTTGTTTTTCGGCGCCAGGCGAAGACCTTTTTATTTAAATGTCATTTTAATTGTTAATATTATTTGCTCATTTTATCTGGCCAGGGTGACTTATTTTATATTGTTAATTTGTTTTATATTTTAATGTATTATATTTTAATTTATGTTGTGAGCCGCCCCAAGGCTTCGGCGAATGGGGCGGCATAGAAATGTTTTAAATAAATAAATAAATAAATAAAATAATAAAATAAGAGTCAAAGTCAGTGCTAAAGGGCTGCATGCATTAAACAGCAAACCCCATAAGTTCGTCAGCAGTAAAAGCAAATGAATCTACCTACGTATCATTAAAGTTTGTTTTCTTCAGAACTTTTCTTTATCCATCTATCCATGGTTGGCCTATGGGGGGGGGGGGTCCCAGATATAGGTGTGTTTAGTGACTGATTAGCAGATAAACAGTCAAGTGCTGTGAATTGTGACAGGTCCCAACTGCAGCTTTTATCATTCAGGGGAAGGAGATAACATTTGGCCAAAGAGAATCTTTTCTTTTCAGTTTCCTTTCGTGTAACATGAGAGCCAAAGCTTGTTCCTGGCTTGTTCCCTGCAATGTCCCAATTTACTTGACCTGCTAAGGCAGCGTTTCTGAGTGGATGCCTCATCATCACCTACTGGTATTTTGTAACTCGGAGTCTCGGTCATAGATCGGCGGCAGTGACGCGTATTTTGGGTGATGGAGCCACAGCAGAGGGATTCAAGAACCATGTGCGGCTCTGGAGCCGCAGGTTGCTGACCCCTCGCCTAGATGTGTCCCACTCATGGGCATTAAAGTAGTACTAGGAACTAGGGCATTTTCAGTAGTAGTCCCATCCATTCTGAATTACCTCCCTGGACAGGTCTTACAGTGATGTCTTTTCAATGGGCTTTGAAACCTTATTTATTCCAAACTAATTTTAACTGATATTTCATACTGGATTGATGCAAGTTTTAATTTCTGATGCAAGTTTCACAGCTTGATGTAACTTCTATCTTCAGCTTGATCAGGGCTGGGGAACCTGTGATCTGATCCTCCAGCTATTAAACTCCAGCCAATATGGCCAGTGGTTAGAATGCAGCAAGTCAACCCAGAAAGCCACAGATTTACTGCCCACAAGCTAAATAGTACTAGACTGTACATGCAGGTTTTTTGTTCACTGTGGACAAGATGTGACACAGAATTAATCATTGCTCCCCAGCAATCCTTCATATAGCAAATCTGCTTTAAGTGTAGAATCTTTTAGCATATAAAGTGGCTCAAGTAAGATGCATATATCTGGCAATTTTCCTTTCCTGAACTTTTTTAAAGCATAAGATAAGAGGGAGCATACAAAGCAACTGTAAGGCAAGTACTTACAGTTACAAAAACCTACAGTTTCCCACACCAAGGCCAAGTACAGGTTATGTTCCAAGAAGAGGTTAGGGCAAAAAGAAAACAGTTGTTATAAGGAAGAAGAAACAACTTTGTAGAAAGCACCAAGAACTTCTCAGAGGCAAACCAAAAGAACTCTATGAAAATATCAAAAAAGATACATCTTAGCAGGCTGATGCCTCCAAGTATGTTCTGAACAATAATATTTGGACCACCAGATGTCAGTCTCACAACTCTTGCTGGCTAGCTAAGTGGTAGCTGCAATCTACCCCAGTGGTGTTTCTCATTAATGCAGAAGCTGCTTACAAAACCCAAAGAGGGGGAAAGTACCACTCCGTGCAGAAGTACCTAAGGCAACACTATTTCATTCCACTGAAACAGAATGTTTTTGATCTATTCATGACTCAACTGCAGGCAGACTTTTCCAGACTTTCACTGAGAAAAAGTAATTGCGTTCTCTAGTTTACATTTAATTTTGTAGGAAGGTCAACATCTGTACCAATTTCCCCAAAATTGGCTGAGGTCAAACTCATGTCCTTAACTCTGGCTTTATCCAGCAAAGAAAGAATCAAAACTGTGGAAGGCATAGAAGTACAGAAAGAATGTCCTTAAAACACACACACAAATATTACCTTAACTCCTATACTGTTTATGTGACTGTTACAAAAATAGCAACCATTCTTTCCCTTTCTAGCATAACTATGTCCAGAGATTCATATTGTAAACAGCAGAACCAAGAACTCTTTTTTTTCCCTCACATGACATCCAGAGGGAAAACACAGTCCTGCCTATTTTAATTTCTAGAGAATTTGTGAGAAGTATAGAAATAAAGTGTTCCTTACAGAATAATGTAAACTAAGTAAATCACCTATATTTTAGTGAATATTTAGGCTTCCTCAACAATTTTGGGTTATCAATTTCTCATGTATGTTGAAATACAGAAAGAACCATAAAAAGGGATGAAAGTGACAGGAACTGTTCACACCAAATGTAAGCATTCAACAATAAATCAAATATGGACATGTGTACAAGCTGCTTCCACTTAGTGGCAACAACTCAAGAATGCCCCCATTCATAGGTTATTAGTGTGACATCTGGACCTGTATACTTTGGATTACACATCCTAAGAACATACCATGGGTTAACCATGGATTGTTTAACCAATGAATAACCTAAAGTGTTCAGGTTAAGATAATGGAGTCGTTATAAGTCATTGCTGCAAAATGGATGCAGCTGGTGCACAGCCCACACTTCCACAAATCTTGAGGTAAATAACCCATGAATTGCATAGATTGCTGACAAATACTGCTCTTAAGTGTGAACCAGGTCACAGCTTAAAATTAATCCACAACTAAGCTGAAATAATGCTTTCCTTATTTTATTTATTTATGTATTTATTTATATGTTCATTTCTATGCCACTTTCCAGACCGCATGGTATCAATTTCAAGTTGAAATTCTTGAATCAGTCAGTAGTAAAGAAGGTAGATAAAGAAACAGCAGCCCAAATTCTCATTATTCTGATACTTCTAAACAAAAGTTGCTAGAAAATCATAGTGAAAAGTTAGTGAAACACACAACTACTGTCTAATTGGGTTTCTTATCCTTATGGACTTGAGGACTAGCCTGCACATCTGTATGAAAACCACTAGGTCCTACTTGTTATAAAGGAATCACAACTGCACAACATTCCCGCATGATCATCTTTTAAAATTAACAGCACTTAGAATCACACTATAGCGCAAGTGCCAGGATCATATTGGGAGCTCTGTGAATCAAGACACTGGCTCTCTTTGTCACTGGGGTATTAGTCAAAGAAAAGAACAGGCAGTTCCAGCTGGGACATTCACATTACATGCCATAATCCCACTGGTCTGGGAAGTCAGCAGAACCATAAAGTCAATCTAATACCACTGGTTAATATAAAGCTCTCTGAGCTTCTTCCTTCCCTCTTCCTGGTTAAATAGTCACAGAAGGAGATCCCAGACTACAGGACAGAAGCCTTTGCAATTACTACTTGCCTAGGTTCCAAATGCCTCGCGAACAGCATAAAACAACAGCAGAACTTACAAGTCTTCACAAAACAAAGTAAAAAGCGTGCTTCACTTCAAAATCTTCTCAGTGATGTCAAATTTCCAAAAAAATTCAAACTGGAAAAATTTATGGAAAATTTTGTTGTAAACTACCCAGAAATAAAGAGAAATAAAATAAATACTTATAAAGTATTTGCATGCCCTACAGCAAGGGTGGGCAATTTGTGGCCTTCAGATATGTTGCTGTATGACTTCCATCATCCCCCACAGTTGGTTATTTTCAGTAAACAAAGTTTTCCATATTTACCCACTTTAGTTTGTCTCAAATTCTACACAAAACTAAAGTATCACAACTTGTGGCTTCACAGCTCTCCCAAAACTTCAACCCAGAAAATGTAGTACTTGAGTGAAAGTTCTTACTCCAACTATAACTTACCACTGTAGTTCAGACCACTTTCCTTTTCTGTATCAGATTAGGAACTTGCCACAAGCAGCATTAACAATCTTGGAATAAGCTCTGTAATATGCCTAAAGACAGGGATTTTACAAGCCAGAATTCTTTCCTAGTATGATTAAATTTGGATTTTTCCCTTTGCTCTAAAATAAAAAGATTAGTGATTGTCCTTAAGAAAAGCATTCTGTGTTTTGGCTTTTTGGGATGAATCCTAGAACAAAGCTCTGCATCTATGTTGTTAAAATCAAACTTATATATACATGTGGTGGCTTAATGTCATGTGAACGTACAGGGTCAAGGAGGTTTTGCTTAGCATAAGTAAGTAACAGTAGGGAGTTGTGTTTAGCTTGTTTTGCTTTATATGCATTACATATTTTAAATTGTCTATAAATATACAAAAGTTTTATAGAGGAATTTTCTTGTGCTGAAAGTTTGTAGTATACTTGACCATTATATTTTTGACTTGTATATCCTAGGTATGTACAGGAACATCATGGGAAGAAGGACACAGAGGAACAAGAACACAAAACTTCTGCAAGAGTATGTTAAGAGGCATGTCACAAAGCCATGACAATAAGTTGAGCCCACTGTAGAATGCCACCTCAAAGCCACTTACAAAAATCTTGCAATCTTCAAGGGATCAGCATTTACAGTCCTGTATTTAGTCTAGCCTTACTAAAGGTAGAGACTGCTTTTAGAATAAAGATCCTCAATGAGTATTACAGTGTATCAGAGTGTCGTACGGGGTCTTGGGAGACCTGGGATCTAATTCCCACTAAGACACAAAATTCACTAACTAACTGGGACAGTCATTGGTGGGGGAAAGCTGTTGTTGCTTGTTTTTTTCAGCCAGACAGCTTCTTCCTGCCCGAACCCCTTTGATCATGCAAATCTGGTCACTGACTTCCAGCACAACCTACCTCACCATGTTGCTAGGGAGATAAAATGGAGAAGGAATATCATGTACACCACCTTGGGCTCCTTGAAGGGAAGGCAGGATATAAATGTAATAAATAATGAAAAAAGCACTCTGCTTTTTTAATAGTTGCACAATACAGGCTTTCAATAGTCTCTTACATTCGCAGGGATACTTCTTATGTCGAAGTTTACAAATAACTGCTAGAAACAGCCCAGAGAGGTTTGGCTATTGGGCAATATAAAAATAAGTAAATAAATTTTCAATGCACTTCACCTGCCAAGCCTCACCATAACAACTAGTCCTCATACAGCTGTGCCACTGCCTGTCCTGCCAGTCATCACACATACCAGATTAGCCTTCACTTCTGCACAAACGTTATCAGTTCAGCAACCTCTACAAGCTCAGAGCCAGCCTAGATTCCAACCCAGTGGTAAATCCACATACGTTATCAACAGTTCTCTGCCAAAGTGCTACACCATTATGTTTGAAACGATGCCACCCCCACTTCCCAGTATTACCACGCTATCTTCCACAGTCCTCGGACCCATCGACACTCCCCCTCTACCAAAAAGCAACCAATTCAAATATCACAAACACCCATGAACCCCAAGCCCTTCCACCACGTGCCAGTCCCAGCCTTGCAGCAGACTCTCTGCACAGCAGACGCAGAGCCTTAGCTACCCTACCAAGACTTGACTGACCGTAAATACCCCCCATTCAAGGCTCTAGAAATCTCAAGCTTCTCTCGCCAAACTCCTTGTCCTGCCCCTCATAAACACAACCAATGTATCCCCAATCACCCCATACAGAAACTGATCTAGGCCCTAAACGGCTTCAGAAAGCCAAAGGCGCTTCCCGGCCCCCTCCCCCCCAGTCAGAAGCTTCGATTTCCTCGCAATCTCCTTCTCCCCCGCGCTCCACTTACCAGTATTTGAGGATGGCGGTGACCTGCAAGGGGTTGGGCTGCTCCGGGTACAGTCGCCGGCACTCTCCATAGATACCGTGCAGTCCTGGGGGGAAAAGCGGGGGAAAGGGGCCCGTCGCCAGGCCAGAGGGAACAGGGGCGGCCGGGGCGGCAGCGGTCTCCATGAGGGAAGCCTGCAGGGAGAGGGGGCCGGCCGGGCAGAAGGGAGAACTGGGCTGCGTACACTAGAGAGTGTGAGGGGTTGCGGGGAGAGGCCGCCCCAGCCCCGCACCCACAGCCCACACGGTCGCTCCAGAAACTCCTCTCACGACCCCAGCCCGGCCTGGCCCGGCCCAGGCAGGAGCAGCGGTACCAGCAGCCCCCTCCCACCCTCGCGATAGGCAGACGTCTTCGCCAATCACAAAACGGCGACGATCGGGACTGACACGAGCCCGCCTTGGGTTCCACACGGCCTTTGCCCTGTTTTCGCGGAGGCTCACGTCTGACACCTAGCGACGGGTGCCTACTATTGCAGTCTCCTTCCAGCCCGGACAGAGAGGGCGGAGTCGGGGGAAAAGGCATCTCTATTTCGCTCTCCTCCTCGCCATGCTCAGTTTCTGATAGATTTCTTTTTCCACTTCTTTGAGCGATCAAATCATGTAAATACTTTTGTTTCAGAGAGAACCAGAATGCTGTGTAGTGGTTGGCGTGTCAGACTCGAATTGTGAAAACTTGAATTCATATTCCCAGCCAGAAAGCCAACTATGTGTCTTTGGGCGAGTCACTATCCCCCGGCCAGTATCAGGCTGAATAAGAAAACAAATATGTATCGCAGGATATACTTTTATTGGTCTGAAGCGCCTCTTCTGTCGTAGAGAATTTTGGCTATAGACTGCTATATAAATGTAACAAAAAATAAGCAAGCAGAACAAATATATTCACTCCCTCCGAGGGCCCTGTTGGTCTCTCAATTGCTATATGGGACTAAGCATAAGAATAAATAAGAAGGGGGACCATGAGACTGACTTCTCAGAGTCAATTATTTATTATCCCACATTTCCTCCTAGAAGCTGAGGCTCATCCACGTGATTCCTTTCTCCCCACTCCCCCTCCATCTTGGCCTCACAACACCTCAGTCAGGTAAGGTTCATGGTTCTGGAAGCTACATAAAAATGGAGCAGTTTAAAATGCTGTATTTTTTTTAAGTATCCAGACGAGAGAAGGTGGCTGTCCCAAAGCCTCATAACTGGAAGGCATAGGGTTGAAGGGAGCCTGTTGCTTACCTTCACTCTATGGGAGTGCATGAAAGAGCAAAGCCTCTATTCTGAAGCAGCTGATATTTAGACTATGTGCCTGGACAGGCAGGATAAATGGGAGCATGGCTGACACACAGGGTGCTTTGTCACAGCAGGCTTTTGGTAGTGTTACTCATACACTGCTCTTCTAATATAATCTACCTGCAGTTTTTCAAAGGCCAACTTAGCCATGGCACTGAAAAAGCAAAAAATGTACCTAAAGCATGTCATATTAGTTGCATGTTTGTTTTTAACTCATTTTGACAGGCATGCCTTCAAGAGTTCCATTGCTTATTGATTTGATTTATTATAATTATATCCTGTATTTTTCCTGCAAGACAGCCTATAATTATATCCTATTTATTCGGGCATCAACTCCATGATGAAAAATGGATCAGTAACCTTCTAGACATTATCTGTGGAGCTCTATTTTGTTTTCTCCCTTTTTCCATGCTTATTGTATAATGTTTATAGCTGGATTCAGGCATTTTCATTGAACTATTCATCACAGCCTCAAGATCCCCTTCCTGGCCATTTACTGCCAGTTCAGATCTTATCAGCGTATAAATGAAGTTAGGATTTTTTTGTCCTAATGTGAATCACTTTACATTTATTAGCTCTAAAGCACACTTGTCATTTTATTGCACATTCATCCACTTAGGAGAGATCCTTTTGGAGTTCCTCATAATCCCTTTTTCTTTTTACCCTCTTCTCTACTTTGGTATTATGAAAATACTTGGCCATCTCATTGCTCACCTCTGAAGATCATTTATGAACAAGTTAAAAGAATCATTGGAGACTCTGCCTATTAGATCCTTCCAGTGTAAGAATTACCAATCTATTCCTAATCTCTGCTTCCTGCTCTTTAATCAAGCATTGTTATAGAAGTGTCTGCTTTGTGAAGGGGCTACTGTAGAACCAGGGTGTATTTGTATACCACATTAAACCACCCTGGCAATAAGCTGTGGGTTGATTGTTGCCCAAACAACCCATTATGGACTTGACAGTCAGGCTCACTGCAAGCTATTTGTTCCCACCATCCTGCTAAAACCTCTCACAATTACTCCAGAGGACTCCAATGCAGGAGCAACTTGGCTGTTCCCCCACCCACTAAGATCTTGAGCTCTTTTTGCACTTACTGTGACTCCCCCCTGCTTATTTATTTATTTATTTCGGGATCTCTATTTACATCTCCATTTGGGATTAAGGAGCTGCTGCTGATGGTGTGAAAGAGTGCATGTGAATGCACACTAGAGAGAGTGTGTGCACACAAAGGGCTGCATACAGCATAGCATACAGACAGGCTTGACATTCCATATATTAAAGTGTTTATCAGTATATTTCTAAAATGGAATTTCAACTTGCCTTTTCATAAAACCTTAGCATGCTTGCACAAAGAACCCATTCTTAGAGCCTTCACACAATGGAACTACAAGTCCCACAATGAACTGTAAAAATATCCCTCCAGCAGAGACTTAGAAGAGCGGAAGAAACATCACACCACAGAGATATTAAAAAAAAAATAGAAGAGCAATCCCTTGACTTTCCAGTTTGAATAGACCTTTTACATTTTTTTCTGTTTGCTACAGCAGAAGTGAGACTGGAATAGAAAAATCAATGGAGAGATTCAAGATGCTATTGTATTACTGGTCAGCAAGCCCCTTCCCACAAAGCCTAAAATTGTATTTTTATTTTTTTGGGGGTCTTGCTTCCCGTAAATAAAACCTGTTTAGGTCTGTCCGTCTTTCAGAAAGGGTTTTGAGCATTTAAAAGTGCAACACATCTACATGCAAGTTCATGGAGCAGACTTCTGAATGCAACTGAGTCCTGGGTGTGGCTTTGGAAAAGGTCTAAGGCTAAGCGGACAATTTAAATAGATTAGACCTGAATTGCAACCTAAATATTGTTTTTGGGGATGTTTGGACAGGAAATCTAAAACTTTTTCAACTGGAAATTTAAGCCCATCTCCAATTAGCAATGTTAACATACATTGCTTAGAAAGCAGTCCAATATTCTGTTCACACAGTGACCAAACAGTTATCTGTCGAAAATCCACAAATAGAGTTCAACAGCACCTACCCACCATGTTCTCTAGAAACCGGTCTCTATAGGCACACTGTCAATAATACTGAAGGGTGCCTATAGCCATCAGGATTAGTAGCCATTGATAGCCTTCTCCTCCATTAATTTATCCAATCTACTTTTAAAGCCATCCACATTGGTGGGCATAACTGTATCTCACAGAAGTGTATTCCATAGTTTACTGTGCACTGTGTGAAGTACTTCCTTATATGTGTCTGGATTACCCACTCATTTCATGGGATGACCCCAGGTTCTAGTGTTTATGGGAGAGGGAATCATCTTTCTCCCTCTCCACTTCCTTCACACCATGTATAATTTGCTACATCTGCCACATCTCTCCTTATTCCCCTTTTTTCCTAAACTAAATAATATCAGATTATTATTTAATTTATATCCTGCTTTTTTCCTTCCAAGGAACTCAAGGCAACTTCCAAAATTCTCCTCCCCCTCATCTTATCCTCACAACCCACTGAGGTAGTTTGAGCTGAGAGTGTGACTGGCCCAAAATCACCCAGTAAGTTCCATGGTTGAGTTGTTGTCACCATTCCTTATAGGGGAAATGCTGTATCCGCCGAGAGAGCTGTCTGGCTATGGGGCAGCATGCAAATACAATATATACATTCATAATAGCCCTTTTCTCGTTCTCAAAACTTTTCCCAACTCTATAATACCTTTTTGAAATTGCAGTGATTCGATCTGTGCACGTGTGGCCGTGCAGCCGCGCCTCAGATTTGTATAAGGGCAGCATAACAGAGAGAGTCTTTACTCCCGTGCCCTTCCCAATTCCGCCCAACGTGGCGTTTGCTTTTGTACAGCAGCTGCACACTGAGCTAACATTATCACTACAACCCCAATTCTACGGATCCCTCTATATTTTTATCTCTGTGTGGGCAGAAAAGGAAGGCCAGCAGAGGGGTGGCCTTTCGCGTTTTCTCTGAGACTCGTTTTCCCGGCGTGCCCCGGCTCGAGTCGGGAGCATGCGCTCTGCTGCCTGAGCTGTCGCTTGTTTAGCTGTGACTGAGACTGAGGAGGAGGAGGAGGCGGCGGCGAGCCGGCGCTCGCCATGGAGTCCTACGATGTGATCGCGAACCAGCCGGTGGTGATTGATAACGTGAGTCCGGCCTTGACTGGGCCCCTCAAAACTGGCAGTGTGAGGAGGTGGGGGAAGGGCAGTGCTACCGTGAACACGGTGGCTCGTAGCGCCTAATCTAATCCCATCGGCGGAGCTAGAAAGCTCTGCCCCCTCCCGCCTCATTCAGTCTTCCTTCCCCCGCCACCTGCAAGGCGAAGCGGCTCTCTTTTCTTCCTCTCGATCACCCAGTGCGCGCTCTCATTGGCTAATTCCGTTGCCACTCAGTCGCGGAACTGCGCAGTCCGAAGAACAACAGAATCTAATTGAGAGGCAACGCTAACCCGTCGAAGACCCTCCTTCTCTTATTAACTCCTGCTGCTGCCACTCATTTAGCGTTGCCCAGTCGCCTTTCGGGACCTAATTTGTCCCGCCTTTCTGGAGTTCATATGTTGTTATTGGGTCCTTGTCTGTGCTGTTTGGTCTTTTAGACCCGACCCTAATTCGATAGGATTGGTTAGCTACGGAAAGGTGAAAGAAGGCGCGGTGCATAGCAGTGATGGCTTGTGCGGGCACTGCCTTCTGGAAACCAAAGTGTCCATCGTCCAAGGCGCTTTTCTGCTGTTGGAAACCAGTGTTCGATATTGCATGTGCTCCCTCAGCATGCACTGCCCTGTGTTTAGAGGTTTGAAGGTTCTCTTCAAGCAGCTTTCCTGTGGGTGTTTATTTAAATCAGTCTTCCCCAACCCGGTGTCTTCCAGAATTTTGGACTACAGTTCCCAGCAATCCTGACCATTGACTATGCTGACTGTGGCTGATGAGGGCTGAAGTCTAAAACATGGAGGACACCAGGTTTGAGAAGGCTGAAAAACATAATGAGCCCGTAGGTAGATCTGGAAAGGATAGCAAACAGGCCATGCCCTCATGCAATACACAATACCCCTTTCAAGTCTTGGAGTGGTTAAAGAAGGTTTCAGAATGAATTGCACATTCTGCTACAGTCAGGCAATTCTGCCTGCACGTCATTAAACTTCAGCAAAATAGTGTGTGACTAACAATAGATGCTTCTGCTCTCCCGAGAGCATTTCCACTTGGTGGGTATGCAGTCACTTAAGAAAAAAGTCAGGTATACTTAAATATATCTACTGTCATAGGATCTGAGTCCTAGTTACAAATCCCAATCTGCTAGAGTATTTTGAGCAGCAGAGAACAACGCAAGTGTCCTAGTCCTTAACTAACCAAAAATGAGAATTCATTGGGGTGGGGGCAAAAAGCCTTAAGAACATGCCATCTGAATTCAGTTTCTCCTCCACCTCCCATTCCTGCCTCCCAATAGGCCCCAGCCCAGATGTGATCATTTTCATGTGAATAGTTTTGAAGTAAATGTTCCATACATTTAGGGCTCTGTTTTGTCCCATATACTGTGTCCCATATACTATGTGTATGAAATCCTGGGGGGAGGTCATGTGACAAGTTGGGGCTGGGTCTCCTAATTGTGTTAAGTAAAGCCAGCTCAATCACTCTTTTTCAACTGTTGCAAATGAGGCTGTGGAAGTCCTGAACCAATGTCTGGTGCAGTGAATTGGGTGAGGGTTAAACTGATGCTCAGTCCAAACCAGACAGAAGTACTGTCGGTCACTAGACAAGAAGAACACCTTTGCCAGCCTTGGTATTCCAGTTGTGCCCCTTCTTGGAGAAGGTGAATCTACCCACATAAATCTGTGCCTCAATCATGCCCTTTCAAATTATTGTAATCTTTGTAGGGCAGTTTTTGCAAAAGAACTGTGGCTGCTGCAAAATGCTCCAGCAAGATTGTTTTCTGATTTCTTTGATCATATTACATGGTGATTTTTTTTAAAGGATGATGGAAAGTGAAAAATCATCTCTGTTGCTAGACTGCTGCCATGGAGGCAGGGCAAGGCAAAGAATACTTGGATGACTCTAAGATAACAGGCTTCTTTGCAGTGGGTGGCCACATTATTTATTTATTTAAAGCTTTTATATACCATCCAATTACATTGAGATGGTCTACAATAAAATGAAGCATAGCATCCAATCAGTCCAAAAAAATAAAACCCACATTAAAACCTAATCAACCTTAAAATAATGGGCAAATAAAAAAGTTATTATAAGATTATGCCTTTCATTTGCAAATTTTAAAATATATTAAAGCTCCTTTGAAACTATGGAAAATATAGTTCCTTTTCATATGTATGTTATGTGTTAATGGTGTACATGTACTCTGGAACTTTGTAGTGATGCAAGCTAGGAAGTCTGTTAAATTGCACTTATTTTCCCCTCTATCCATTATTGTTACTATTATATTGCCTCTATTTCCCACCTTTTTCTCCTTTGGTAAAGAACCCAAGGTGGCTTACATAGCACGATTCTATCCCCACAACAACTACCTGTGAGGTAGGTTGGGCTGAAAGTGAGCAACTGGCCCAAAATCACCCAGTGAGCATCATGGGGCCCAGACCTGGACCCCCAGTCCCACATTCTGACCACCACCCCACACTGGCTCTTTCTCATAGATATTTCAGTGGATGATAAATAAGGCACATGACACAGCAAGCTTGCTGAAAACACATGCCAGATCGAGTCCCATGAAAAAAGGCAAGATATGATAAATGACTAATTGTGTGACTTGTGAGATCAGCATTTCCCCCTTAAAAAGATTCATGATGAGGCAATACGTGTTTGGTGCTGTGGAAGAGAGAGAGTGCAAGGAAGGAGCAGCAGCAAAGTAAAACAGCCCAAAGAACAGATAATTGCTTCATGCTTTACATAGTGGCTTGCTCACTGTTTCCCAAAGGGCTTGTGAAAGTGAATGTGGCTGGGCCAGGGGGTTGGGGTGCAGTACCAGGCAGAAGCAGCAAGCCTGTGTTTTATGTTACAAAGGGATATGATTTGCTGTCTCTCCTGTAACTGATATATCAGGCCTTTATCTACTGGAATACTCTTGTTGTTTGTACCTCCTCTATAATGTGATGGCATTGGATGAGAAGTCTCTCCTGCATCTTGTCAAGGGGCTATCATAGTTCATTAAATATTTGGTTCTAAAAGAAGGATACTCTGCATAACAGAACACTTCTGCTTGTATGGTCTGAGGCTGTGGCCAAGCGTGGAAAGCAGAATTTGCTCTCTCTCGTAGGCACACAAGGACACTGACTTTCCAAGCATATATTTGGTGGTGGAATTTGTTGGGTGGGTCCTTTGTTTTGGGGTTGCTCTTGCTATGTAATTGTTGTTAGTGGAATACTACAGAGATTGAAGTGCCATATGATCAATATTGGCTTGTTTTCATATAGATTTTGGTTCTCTTTCCTCCTGACAGGGTTCTGGTATGATTAAAGCTGGCTTTGCAGGTGATCAAATACCCAAGTACTGTTTTCCAAACTAGTAAGTACCTGGCCACTGGGAGAATGTTAATGATGTTCTGTGACTTTAACATCAAGTGCAATGTCTATGTGTGGGGAAATGTGGGTCTTTAGATCTGTGCTGGATCCATGAGCTTCGCACATTGGCTTTGACAAAGCCAAGCCATAACCTGCAAGAATGTAGGGCAGTCTTTCCCAAGGATGTCCTCCATTTTTGTTGAACCACAGTTCCCAGCATCCCCTAGCCACCTGTGATGGCTAGAAAATTCTGGAAGCTGTCATTCCAGGCATGTGGAGATCATCAGGTTGCAGAAAGCTGATGTACTGGAGCAGAATCCCTTAACACAAAGGGGTTTGGGATCTTCAGACATAGCTCCTTGTGGGTTGGGGTATTCTTTATACTGTGTGGCCACTCAACTTATTAACCTTGCAGCAATGCAAGGTGGGTTCCTTCATTGTACTACAGTTTAGAGATGGCTACCATTCAGTTCAACTGCTAAGTGCAATGCCTTGCCCTAGAATAGTCTCTCTTTAGTGGAGCAGTGAACTGTTCAGTCTGTGCCTTCTGTCATGAGAGATGCACTCTGCTTTTCCACAACCTTCTTCAGTGTGGGCAGACCGAAGCACGTTCGTGTTATGGCTGGAGCTCTGGAGGGTGACATCTTCATTGGACCAAAAGCAGAGGTAAGGCAACTATATTGATTCCAGCCTCTCCTTCATCTTCCGCAGGGCACAGAAAGAGCCATCCTTTCTAGCCTTATACCTTGTCATCCCTATGGTATCTCTGATAACAAGATGAGGACAGGGCAGCTTGCTTAGAACAGTGGGTTAGATTAGAAGTATTTTGAGGACTAGGAGCTTTCAACAAATCCAAATGTCTTATTCATGCACAGTGGCACCGCCATAATATATACACATGCTTGTTAGATCATAGGTCTCCTCTGATGGGCATCGAGCATTGTTTCTATTGTTGTACAATTTCCCATGTATGACGAAAAATTGCTGTGTGTATTGTTTGACCATCAACAGATCAGTTTACATTAGATTAATCACTGTCCATCTTTGCTTACTAGTCTAATCCTGACGAAATATGTAACATGCACTTACAGAGAAAACCTGACAAATCTAAGACAGTTCCCGAAAGGTCTATCCCATTCCCTCTTGCATTATGAATTCTCTCCATTTGGCTCCCAAAGATACTAAACTTGAAACATTCAATATGACAGAAAGGTAAAAACTACTTGGCACCATCCAGTGCTGCTGCTAAGTATCTGTTTCGTTTGTTGCACAACAGAAAGCTAGCAGTTTTAAAAGTGACCCTGGAAAGAAACGAAAATGCTAGTTTCCAGTTTGGGACAGGTCACTGGAACTTCCTTCCAGAAAGGAACTCTTTTTTTCTCTCATTTCATTTTTTAGAACAGCTAGTTTCTCATTGTGCTAGCTGTGGGTGGCAGTAGTGCACAGGCAGGCTTGGATAGTGCCCAGAGTGATGATCTTCATATTAACCTCATGGTTTCTAAATGGGAGAAAAGAGTTTGTTATTAATATAGGTCTCCTACTCTTCTAAAAGGTCATTCCCCCCTGCAGTGGGGAGCGCTTCTGTTTTAAGAAAAATGGCAGTAGAGCATTTCTTAGTGGAGTTCCTACAAAGTAGATTCATTGTAAGTGATAAGATACCAAATCATCCAGTGAGCACAGCAGGTGGTTCATCTGACTTTCCTTCTGATTGACATACTGCCTTGTTTGTTTATTTTGACTAGGAGCACAGAGGCCTTCTTTCCATACGCTACCCTATGGAACATGGCATAGTGAAGGACTGGAATGATATGGAACGCATCTGGCAGTATGTGTACTCAAAAGACCAGCTCCAGACTTTCTCTGAAGAGGTGAGCTAACTAGCCATAAGCCCCCCAAAACCAGATGAGGGCTTCCCACTTTGCAATTTGGTGCAATTTTTTAAAACTCCAGTCATCCTCTGGACCCGCATTCTTTGTTCCATTCTCTCTTTCCCAATCAGAATAGCCTTTTCATTACCTTCTCTCTGCTCACAGTATGGCATACAACACGGGCAAGCTTGCAGAATCTATCTTGTTACTACAATCCAGAAGTCCATCAACAGGAGCTAGATGCATTAAGGAGCCGAGTGCCTCCAAATGTCTACATATTCAGCCCACAAATTTGGGATTAGTACTAGAACCAGGCTTATAATCCTTTTGCTTACCAATCCACTCCTGGTTTTCTATTCACAAATGTTCTTTTTTGTCAGCCTAGTTAAGGGGAAGAAAGCTTTTTAATTGTCAGAGAATCAGAAGTTAGAAATCATTGCCGATCTATTCATATCACTCACAAATCCCTAGTGTACTTTGTGCCTGCCCTGGCACACCACTTCCACTGCTGACTCATCAAAGTTAGAGAAAGTTCATTGGTTCAAAACTTCAACTGGTTAAGAGTAACTGGGAAGATCATTTGCCTGCACTTCTGCTTGAATTGAGGGTATTTTTCCTGGTGCCAACTCTACATTTCAAACCATTCTCCTGGACTGTTAGTCCTTGCTTACCCAAAGCATGGAGGCAAGCTACGGTAACAAACTCCACCTTCTCAAATTGCAAATTCTGCAAAGCAAGTGTGAGCTCAAAGGGCTCACCACATTTCTGTAGCTTGGGCCTTGTTTCCCATATTGCTTAGTGCAGGAAAATCCACAGGATGCTTGGCAAAGTTTTGATATGCCCTCTTCTCCAGATAGGGCTCAACTCTTAACTGTCACCTATTGTGTGATTTCTAATACTTGGTTGGCAAAGGGTTTTTTGTTTTTTTGCAGTTTACTAACAGTAAGTCTGATCTGCTTAACTAAATTTATTTGTTCAGTTAATAAGTTATTGATATGATATAGATTCCTGTTCAGTGTTTCAAACAAATATTATCTGCCAGTTTGGCTCATGCCAATCAAAAGGAGAAGAAGGGAAAGAATGATTGGCCTCCATCTCAGGCTTGCAAACAATAAAGATAAGGCGTATGAGAGAAGGGGCTGAAGTGAAATAGTGATGTGTCTGACAATGCCAGTACAAAGTGGTGTGTTGTTAGCAGACAGTTTTACCAAGCTGAGCCCAGGCTGAACTTCCCTTGCTGATGTTCTTGCTGTGGCAGAGACCAGACCATCATTCCTCCCCCTTCTATCATCCCAGGACAGGTAGAATTCCACTGGAATTCTTTTTTCCAGAGAGGGAGAAGTGAGCTGCCTCCTCCTCCTCTGGCCAATGCTGGGGCAGACCTGGTCTTTCCTTTGCCAGGGTGTTCTTCCTGGGAGAATAGATACAAAATTATGTTCACCCTAAAGTCAGTGTCAGCGTTCCCCAACTTGCTGCCCTCCAGAGGTGTTGGATTACAGTCTCCAACAGCCAGCACAGCCACTGATGGGAGCTGTAATCCTAGGCTGAGAAAGACTGTTAGATATCTCGTATTTACATCCTTCTCATCTTCTGTGTAGTTCACAAGTGATCCCTAGGTGGCTTCTCATTTAAGCACTGACAAGGGCTTGCCATATGCTATCAGGGCAATTTTCTGGCCTAACTTTGACTGTTTGATGTACAGTTATTTGGTTTAATAGTTTGTTTCCATTCCATTCACTTCCAGAGCTTGTTCTCTGGATGAACAAGGAGGGCAGGCTTAAGGAGAAAAGGAAAAGTAGGCTAATTCTTTTCCTATTCTCCCAAATCCTGGAAATGTTTGTTAAAATGTTCTGGAAGGAAGGACTAGAAAAGTCCCCACGGGTGAGGTGAAGTTCTACCCAGCTGAGTCTTTTGTGTTCCTGTCCACCAGCATCCTGTGCTCTTGACGGAGGCTCCACTGAATCCACGTAAGAATCGTGAACGAGCAGCTGAAGTTTTCTTTGAGACCTTTAATGTGCCAGCCCTGTTCATCTCCATGCAAGCTGTGCTTAGCCTGTAAGTACTTTCTGATTCACTCACACACCCTGCTTTCTTGGAAGTTACCTTGGAGGAAAAAAACAGTTTTTGCAAAGTAGATCATTACTTTGCACATGCAATGCTTACTGTTGAGAAACTGGATCAACTGAGACAGCTAGCTTAAAGTAGGTCCAGTTGTGTTCAGCAGGACTTACCACCCAAGTAAGCGTGCACAGGATTGCAGCCTGAGTCTTGTGAAAGACTTAGTCCAGGAAATTCCACCTTATTGAATGATTAAGTGTTCGGGTTTAAATTAAAATTAGAAATAATTGTGGTTGTATGTGTGCTAGCAGACATTTTTCTCTTATATCGAGATGTATTCCATTTGTTAGCCAGCACCTCACTTTTTCAGAAGGTAGATCTACAAGATTAACCTTCTTCCTTTGTCATCTGAACCAGTAAACAATTACCATCCCCATTGTTGTTTCATAAAAGGTATCTTCATTGCTCTAGGTAAGGTACACGAAATCAGGTTGTTCTGGTCATTATCTTAGGAAGTGCTGCTGGGTGCCCATCAGGCCGTGTGAATTTTCTACCAATTCTGCTTTGTGTATATTTCTGAAACACATTCTCCTTTCTGTAGTTATGCCACAGGACGAACTACAGGAGTGGTGTTGGACTCTGGGGATGGGGTCACCCATGCAGTTCCTATATACGAAGGCTTTGCCATGCCCCATTCCATCATGCGGATTGACATTGCCGGCCGGGACGTCTCTCGGTTCCTTCGCCTGTATCTCCGGAAGGAAGGCTATGACTTTCATACATCATCTGAGTTTGAGATCGTCAAAACCATAAAAGAGGTGGCTTTTGGTTCTGGAGTACCTTCTGTTCTGAGGGGACTGAGCTGTGAGCAGTGGCCAGGTTACCACACTGGATGTATCTCCCAGCATCTGGTGATGTCAGTCCAGTTCAAATTACAGGGGTGGGGAAAAAGATTGCTGAAGCTGTAACTATCTGCTCAAGGCAGACTTTGAGCTCAAATACATAATTGCATTTTCTCAGCTTTTGGCAAGGACCACTTTTCAGAGAAAGGGAAGTGACTTATAAGTATGTTCAGAATGCAGTGCAGCCCTGACTTTTCTGGGACAGAGCCCCTTCAGAAGTGGGTGTGAGATTGCAACAATCCAATGCAATTGCCTCTCCAAACATTTGGTACATAGAAGGCAAACTCATCTCAAAAATGAGTAAAGCCCATTGTGCTGGCATGCTAGCTTTCTGCAAACCAGGATTAAAAAAAAATAAAATATGGGAAGCATACTGACATGATCACTTTCAACACAATCTTCTGAACTGGTAGAGTTCTGGGAAGACTTCACCATGCGGTTCCTGCAAACAAGCACATCAGAACATAAATCTGAAATGCTGACACCCCTCAGAATGGAGGTCATTGCAGGCAATCTGCCCTGTGTTTTGCAGATCTGGAAGACCTCCAGGTAACAGTCTCACACAGTGATTTTGCATCTGGGCTAAGGAATCTCCAAACTTGATTTTGCCACCAGGATATTTTTTTTTTCCCAATTTGGTAACATCTGAGCAGCACTGAAAAGTGGATCAACTGGATCTGTATGAGATGTGCAGGATTTCATGATCCCTTAGCAAAAAGCTAAAATAAAATAAATTACTGTAATCTCCAAACAATAGTAGCATTCTGGGTGAGGCATTTATGGTTCTTCTATTTCTTGAGTTTTACATAAAGGACAGAGCAAGCTAACCAGAACTTTCTTAGAATTTTTTAGGGAATGCCAAGATTGCTTAATCTAGAAGATGAGCTATCTTAACAAGAGAGCCAAAGATTTGGGGCAGTAGCTTGTCCCCACTGTTTTGGTCTTCTTCCCATAGTTCTTGCATAGGCAAGCTACCACTGAACTTCTTCAGGGTAGCTTGGTCCTCACAGAAGTTCTAACAACTCTGGACTACACGTGGAGTAGTGTTTGTTTATACCTGCTAATTTCAGTGAGCTGAGGTGCAATGGACTCTGAATAGGCCTGACCTGTTGCAGTGTAAAAGAGCTAAATGTAAAAGCTGCAGAAAAATCCGAAGAGATAAAGGATGCAATTCTATGAATATTTAGACAGAAAAACCCTGCAAGTTGCATTATTCTCCAATCAGCTTGGCTGGAACATGCTAGAAGCTATAGGAATGTTCTGTCCAGACAGGCATAGGATTGGATTCTAGAGGCACAATACCATAGCCTCCAGACATCATCATAGGTATTCCTTTTCATATTAAAGAATCTGCTTGAATGTCTGTCATATCTCTGCCATTCCTCCACAGCGGGCCTGCTACTTGTCAATAAACCCACAAAAGGATGAGACATTAGAAACTGAAAAAGCTCAGTACTACCTTCCGGATGGAAGCACCATTGAGGTTTGTGAACACTGACCTGATTAAAAAGAAAACAGTGCTATGTTGGTTATTGAACAGATCAACGATAGTTTTTATTTAGCATTGGTTAATGTGGTTGCACTCACAGAAGTATGTGCAACTCAAATTGCACTCCATGGAGTGCAAGTGCTGCTGCTGTATTAATTCTAGTCTGCTGTTGCTATGATCCAGGGATCTGAAAACCACTGTAAGGTCAGGACTGGAGTGTTGGAAAGGGAGGGGATTCAAATTCTCATTTGATGTTGAAGCTCATGGGGTGGCCTTGGACAGCCCTCAGCCTAACCTCACAGGGTTGTTTTGAGGATAAAAGCAGAGACAGAATGCTCTGGAGGAAAGATGGGATAAAAATATAATCTTTGAAAAACAGGTTGCTCCATGCTGGTCATCTGGGCTTGCTCAGTTGTACCTAAAAAAAATGCAAGCTTGTGATCAAGCATGTAGGAGATTTCGTTATGTCCTGCAGAAGCCAAATTTATCACCCCAACTAACTTTCTTTCTGTCTTTCTGTCTGTCTCTCTCTCTCTCTTTCTTTCTTTCTTGCCATTTTATTTACAACCATATGCTTGAAAGTGATGAGCAATACTAGCTAGGAGAGAGCAAACTAGGATTTCCATCAGTTGGTTAATGTGGTTTCAGTGCCTCCTACAACTAATGAAAGAGACATAAATTATGGGAAAGAAGCAAAACCATGTCCATTTGCAATAAAGGTACATGTTACCAAACTGATTTTTTTTTAAATATGGAGAACACATAGCTCTGACTCTGCATGGCTGGCTTAAGAGCTAACCTGATGTAAGCCAGGAGGTACCCAGCTAAGAGGTTACAGTGCTTGGCCTGGAATCTTTTGTGATCCAAGGTCTTTCAGTGGTTGGCAATTCTCTGGACAATACTGAACATCACTTAGCCCAAATAGAGTACTTTGCAGTTCTCTAATGCTATCTGGGCCATAAAGCATTCATTATCACAGCTTCTTTAGCTTTGCTTGCATGAAAAGGCTGGTATAAATTACTCTGTTCCAAAATTCTGTTCCTTGCCATAAATGTCAAGATCTCACATGTAGGCACAACAAAGCTAATCTTTACTGCTGTTTGCAGATTGGCCCTGCCCGATTCCGAGCCCCTGAATTGCTTTTCCGGCCAGACCTGATTGGGGAGGAGTGCGAGGGGCTACATGAAGTGCTGGTTTTTGCAATCCAGAAGTCTGATATGGACTTGAGACGAACGCTCTTCTCCAACATTGTGCTCTCTGGAGGTTCAACACTCTTCAAAGGTTCTTTCTGTTGCTTCTTTGCCTTAGGGTATACTGTGTGTTCTGAGCTTCACTCTAGATTTACTCCTGCAACCTTATCCTTGCCATGACTGAGGTTTGCACTTGCTTCCTGAGAGTGAGATTAGCAAAAACCCTTGATGTAGCTTCTTTGTTTGGGAAAAGGGCAAGCTAGTTCTCAGGAAAATGCTTATTTCACCCCAGTTGAAAGAGATGGGGCTTTACATGAAGGCTGGATATCTGGGGACACAGTGCAACAGCTGGTTTGGAGCTCCCTCCCCCTCCCTCCCCGGAACACCTGCCACGCCGTGCTGCCACCACTGCTGCCACCACCGCCGGACCTGAGGCGCACCGCCGAGCCGGGGGCCAGCTGACACCGCTCCCGCGGCCACCACTGGGCCACCCCGGGCACGGAGGACGCCAGGGCCGCCGTCGACGGTGCAGAGGAGGGCGCCGCCATCTTGCCGCCGGGCAGGTTTCCGCACCCCTCTCTGCTCCCCCCCTTGCCGGCGTTGGTGAGAGCAACACCGGATTGGGGCGGGGCGCGGTCACCGCCATTTGTGGCCGTGCGGTGATGGGCTGGCGGGGAGCTAGGACGGTGGGTGGAATTTTGAATGTTGTATCGGGGGGATAGATGGGGAGTTTTTTACTGTTTTAAAGTTTTATTGTATTTTTATTTGTTTTTATGGAGTCGTCCCTGGCCATGTCGATGGTTGAGTTTCCTGGGGAGTGCGTGGGTGCTGCCATTGGGGTGGTCACGGGCAATGGACGTTACAGCGGTGGGGGCTTAACGTGTCCGCGTAGAAGAAGGAGGGACAG